TGTCTTTTGTCCAGCAATGATTATGGTCTCAGACCAGACGGTGTGTGTGTGTGTGTGTGTGTGTGTGCGTGTGCCTGTGTGTGCGCATCCATAAACCGCCGCCTCAATCTAAGACTACATACAACAATCGGATCAGTACCGTTGTGGTAAAAAGTTGAATTCCAGTTTTTATGTGTAGACGTCCCCTGTCCTCCAGCAGGGGGCTCTGGAATCACTCATTAGTACAGACTGACACACAGATGTTTGTTTGTTTGTTGCTGTACTGTTAGCAGGTGAACCAATCACTGGCTCTGGTCAGCGTGGACAATAGAGTCAGCAGGATATTCTCTTCACCACAGCAGGTTCTGGAATATTCCACTGTAGCATTAGTTCAACCACAAACACAGAAGTGAACGTCACGCTTTAACGTTAACTCTTCATAAATAACTTTGGCGCAGAGCTTTTCTTCTAGAACATACTGTATATCTGCTCTCTGCAGCGCTGCTCGTGATTGGACGGACCTTTTTCTAAGAGATGGTGGCTGAAGAAGCTCTTTTATGATCTTGTCTCGTCTCAGTTCAGTTCTAATCTGAGAGACAGAGAGAGAGAGAGAGAGAGAGAGAGAAAACTGAGGGGGATTTTCTGCTAAATGGTCTCAAGGCAGCAAGTGGAGCAGAACTGGAGGAGATAGAGTGAAGATTCTGCAGCGGGTGAAGCCGAGAGAGGCTAAAATACCAGACAGGAGGAGGAGGAGGAGGAGAGATTTTTATACATTTTTGGTTTTTGAAACCCACAGACTTTCCACCGAAGTTTTAAAAAATGGGAAAACATTCAAATCTATCGATAACTAGAGTGTAAATTTCACAAATGTTGAGTCATTAGTCTCTCACTCATTAGTCTTTAACTCATGTTTTGACCCCAGGGGGCGCTTTTCATGTTGAACCCTTTTTGCTTCTTTTTGCAGACCTAGTTGTAACATTCAAAATCCTCAGCAGTCAGGTTTGGTCTTATTAATTCTTACTGAGGTGTGTTTGTGTGTGTGTGTGTGTAACATAAACACACACACACACACCTGTCCTGACTAAGAAATCACATTTACAAACATGGTGTCAGGCAGAAAAAACAGTGGCTTTCATGTCTCTCTGTCTCAGTGTTTTCCTCCGGGGGAATCTCTCAGCAGAAACGAGCCCCGATGATTATGGGAAAACGCCGCGGGCAACAGATGAGCAGCAGCAGCAGCAGCAGCAGCAGCAGTAACAGCAGCAGCAGCAGCAGCCTCAGCAGCAGCAGCAGCAGCCTCAGCAGCAGCCTCAGCAGCCTCAGCAGCCTCAGCAGCCTCAGCAGCCTCAGCAGCAGCAGCCTCAGCAGCAGCCTCAGCAGCAGCCTCAGCAGCAGCCTCAGCAGCAGCCTCAGCAGCCTCAGCAGCAGCAGCCTCAGCAGCAGCAACAGCAGCAGCAGCAACAGCAGCAGTTGATGCAGGTGAGTTTGAATAAGGCAGAGAGCACAGCTCTGCGCATTAACGTGTAAGTGATAAGAGGATGATGTTGCCACCAGGGGGCAGCATCAGTTATTTATTCTTAACTTTTTGCTGATGATATAATGTTTTCCTGCTAATGTATAAGTTGTGTGGTGTAAAACCGGTGAACGTAAATAAAGCCGTCTCCTGCGTATAGCCCTACATGACCACATAACGGTCCAGTCCGGTCCGGTCCACGACTGGTGGTCAAGTTTTAACGCCTTATGTCGGAGACTTTAATACTTTAATAAACATATGGGAGATGGTGATGTAAACACTGCTGTAAACTGAGGAGCCTCTGAGCTGGAATTGATGCTTGGAAAGATACTGGAGTTATGGAGCTGTTGTAGGAGCTGCTGCTGCTGCCGAACCTGCTGCTGCTGCTACTACTGCTGCTACTACTGCTGCTACTACTGCTGCTACTACTGCTGCTACTACTGCTGCTACTACTGCTGCTACTACTGCTGCTACTACTGCTGCTACTACTGCTGCTACTACTGCTGCTACTACTGCTGCTGCTGTTACTGTTACTGCTGCTGTTACTGCTGCTGTTACTGTTACTGCTGCTGCTGTTACTGTTACTGCTGCTGCTGTTACTGTTACTGCTGCTGTTACTGTTACTGCTGCTGCTGAAACTACTGCTGCTGCTGAACTTACTGCTGCTGCTGTTACTGTTACTGCTGCTGCTGAACTTACTGCTGCTGCTGAAACTACTGCTGCTGCTGTTACTGTTACTGCTGCTGCTGTTACTGTTACTGCTGCTGTTACTGTTACTGCTGCTGCTGTTACTGCTGCTGTTACTGTTACTGCTGCTGCTGTTACTGCTGCTGCTGAAACTACTGCTGCTGCTGCACCTACTGCTGCTGCCGAACCTGCTGCTGCTGAACTTACTGCTGCTGCTGTTACTGCTGCTGCTGTTACTGCTGCTGTTACTGCTGCTGCTGCTGCTCAGGTCCCAGCATCAGGTTCAGTGGCAGATTCTACAGCTACAGTTTGAAGCCTCAACTATGAAGCTGAAGCAGCAGCATCAGCATCAGCATCAGCATCAGCAACAGCAGTGGCTTCATCTGTGTAGTCTCTGTTTGTTTAGATGGACAGATATTTAGTTGTCCTTTATTGATCCAGGGCTGGGAAATTACAGAAGGAGAAGTTTGAAGTAAATCACAGCGTCAGAATGAATGAGGGTAAACTGTGGTGAGTTCAGGGACCATCAGACAGATGGGCATTAAGATCAATGTCTGTGGACTGAAAACATCACGTCATCCAGACTTCAAAAGATGCACACACACACACACACACACACACACACACACATCCCTGTCTAAATCCATACGATTTGTTATTAACAGGTTTCCTGACCATGAAAAAATAACAAGAAATAAAAGATAAGGTTAAAATACTGAATTTGCACTAAGCTTCGTTTTTTAATAAAAAAAACAAAAGAGAAGGAAAGATGGAAACAAAAAAATTAAAAGGTTAAAATACTGAATTTGCAGCTTCCTTTTTTAATAAAAAGACAAAATAGAAGGAAAGATGGAAACAAAAAAATTATTTATAATAATTAGCAAAGAAAAAATATGGTCTAAAAATAGTTGATAGTTTCCATATGTAGCTATATGTTGTTTGTCACCTGAGTACTCTGCTATATGTAGTTTGTCACCTGAGTACTCTGTATCAACAAGTCTAAAGACAAAGTAAATCCACCGGAATTGAAGTAATATGTTTAATTATTGATTTATGTTTTGGTCAGTGTTTAAAATGTTTTACATTAATTGACCTAAATGACACAAACTGACCACAGGAGGCAGTGGTGGACCAGCAGCTTCCACGTCCCCCTGAGCTAAAATCACAGATTTTCTCCATGGTCTTTGGTTTGAGAGAGTGAGGTGTTTAAGACTACAGTTTCCTGTGGGTAAAGACTGTTAAACAGTGAGTCACCACAGCTTCCTGTCTCTTCCTTTACTGGTTGAAATACGACCTTTTTCACCTTCACTTTCTGGCGTTCTCGCAGGCAGCGCTGCAGAGACGGTTCCACACAGGGTTCCATCGGCACCTCACGTCACTCTGCTTCAAAAACCAAACCCTGAACTATCTCTATCCAGAGAGTTTGTTAAAGACGCAGCAGTGTGGAGAGAAAGTCTGAAAACAAGTCTGCGTCTCCAAACTGCAGGGGGACAAAGACTGTGATTGTCTTTTCAAACTGAAGGTGTGTTATTTACTCCACTCAATCTGTCCCTGACAACAGCACATGATCAAAACAGTAATTTACGGGGGTTTTAGTCAGGCACTGGCAGACCACCGTGCCCACCGATCTGTTCTCAGGGGGTAATGATGGCTCCGCCCACACCGTTTTCCCTCCATCTCTGACGATGGTAAACAAGAGGTGAAGACGTGAGGATGAAGTCAAACTCCTTTCTCTATCATCTTTATTTCACTGCTTTTTTCCCTCCAAGACCCATTCAGGTGTCACTGAAATAACAGCTGTGTGTGTGTGTGTGTGTGTGTGTGTGTCAGTATTTGAGTGTTAATGTGTGTGTGTCTAATAAAATCTAACTGTGCTGGAATGCTCCCTGCTTTATGTTTATTCATCTAGAAATCACTAAATCACTGATTACAGATTTAAGTATTGGACATAAATTAGAGCTTTATAACTTACTGTGTGTGTCTGTGTGTGTGTGTGTGTATGTGTGTGTGTGTATGTGTGTGTATGTGTGTGTGTGCAGGCCTGGGTGGTGTAACGCTGGTCTTGTAATGAGCTATTAACCACCGTCTCCTCTCTGGTCTCAGTCTGACTCTGACTCTCACTTCTCCGATCCATTCCTCCGTCCAGAACCAGCACAAACCCAGACCCAGACCCTGACCCAGACCCAGACCCAGACCCAGTCTGACACCAGCCCTAATCCTGATCTAACAACTCATTATTGAACACACACATGCAGGACCAGTGGTCAGAAATTAATTAGCTCTTTTATGTAAAAAGAAAAATTAAAATAACAAAAAGAATCCTATGTCTTTGATGTGTTCTGAAAAATAAGCGATCAATAAAACACAACCCACTGCAGTTTATTTAGAAGTTAAAAAAATGATTCCTGAATCAAAGCGAAAACAAACACAGATCAATGAGTCGGCAGCAGGTTCTTGTTCACTGCTTTGATACTTGACGACATCAACAGGAGCTGTTCTCACACACACACACACACACACACACACTCTGGATTGTTTTGATCTCTTGAACTTCAAATACAAATACACCTAAGCTCAACTATTACAAATATCCAGGTCTGATCTCGACTCCAAACTCAATCTTGAAAGATGGACAAGGACAGTATTTATTAAATACTACAGTATTTAAGAAAAAAAAAACTCCTGGTTGAAGTATAACTTTGACACGAGCACACCCAGTCACACACACAAAGACACACACACACACACACACAGACGGTACTAAAACGGCTAATGCTAATGCTACAGCTACAGCTAGGACTGCTACGGACACAAACGTTACCATGGCGATGAGGTGTGCTGCTGTTGGCCGGACAGGTGGAGAGTCTTGGGCCGAGCGGCGGAGCAGCTGCCTGCATTAGCCGACCGCTCCCAGTAGGGGTCACTGTGGAACACAAAGAGAACATAAGAAGGAGGAAGTTCTGTGGTAATGGAGAGAAGATGAGAAGAAGAAGAGGAAAGAAATGGAAGAGAAGGAGCGGGAGAAGGAGGTGACGATGGAGAAAAGAGCCAGGAGGAGAACCATCTCCTGCAACAACATGAAAAGAGGAGAGGAGGAGACCAAAGAGAAGGAGCTGAGTAAGGAGGTGACTCTGTGAGGACTAGACATGAGCAGCAGGTGATGAAGAAGACGAGGAGTGAGGAAAAGAAAATCAATAAGGTCACAGGTCAGAAAAAGAGAAGAACAAACTGAACTACTGACGTCTGAACAAACAAAGATCATTCATGAAACACATTTTCCTTCACAAGAGTTAAAAAAATAAAAATAAAAAAAACAACAATTTGATCCAAGAAGTCGCAGGTCAACAGTTGGACGTTTCTCTAACTGGAATCTTTAACTAATGTCATTGGAATTTGGACTCACGTCACTCTAATTGATTTATTTTTAAAGATGTTTAGAAATTAGATTTGTGTGAATTACATTTCTGAAATGTAACATTTTGCAAGAAAATTTTAAAAAATCCTAACCAAGCCTAAAATCTCGTGTTAGTTTTGTGTAATCATTCATTTTAATAAAATAATGACGTACATTTGATTTTCAGTGGATTTGATGACAGACCTTCATTAAACACAGCTGTAAACTTCCTCGGGTTTTTTCTACATTTCACTGTTTCTGCTGATTTTTCTGCCTCCTCACACTCAAACCTCTTGTTTCCTCTTGTCTTCCTCTCCATCTCCCACTCTCTAAAAGACAAAGATTTATCTTGACTTAATAAAGCTCCACTTTCCAGCTGCGCTTTAGCCTCTTTATTTATTTATTAAACTTTGAAAGAAGAAGAAGAAGAAGAAGAAGAAGAAGAAGAAGAAGAAGAAGAAGAAGAAGAAGAAGAAGAAGAAGAAGAAGAAGAAGAAGAAGAAGAAGAAGAAGAAGAAGAAGAAGAAGAAGAAGAAGAAGAAGAAGAAGAAGAAGAAGAAGAAGAAGAAGAAGAAGAAGAAGAAGAAGAAGAAGCTAAACGCTGCCGACTGGGACTCGACAGGCAGCCAAAGTGACACGGAGTCAAATAGGAAATACAAAGCGGCCTCGCCGTGACTGTCTGCGCTCAGTGAATTATTTGAATTTTTACACTCCCACCAAAGACAGGCTGTCAAAACGCATGCCGCCGCGGATTTCTCATACTGGCAGAGAGAGAGGGGGGAGAGACGGGTGAAATAAAAGCAGAGAAGAAGAAAGAGAAAACACACGGGAGGCAGAACCAGGGCGAGTTGAAAAAGGAAGAGGTGGAGGAGGAGGAGGAGGAGGAGGAGGAGGAGGAGGCAGTGAAGCGACGCAGGCTCGCAGGAGAACATTAACTGCACGCTGTCGAGCTCCATAAAACCACTGACATCGCAGCTCGTGCTTCGTGGACGAGTATTATTGTAGAACACAGTTTTCTGAGGTGAGTGGGGGGGCCGCTATTGTTTCTGTCAGGGAGCGAGAGGGAAGGAGGGAGGGAGGACGAGAGACGCAGAACGACATAGAGAGAAAGGTGGCGCTAGCAGTGCGGCCGTCGCAACTCATTTCATTTTCAAAGCTGCAGCTTTACAGATTTGGATTTTAAAATAAAACCTCTCAGACGACACGCTTTAACACTAACATGTCCTCCCCCGATAAAGAAGCAGCCTTAAGGTCAGGGGTTTGATTCCTGGTCTGTGTAGATGTGGCCATGGGGAAGCTGAACTCAGATTAACGTAATCCCCTGGATTATATTTATGACTAGAAGGAATTCAGCACTGGATTATTACATAACAACTGAAATAAATCAAATTAAACGTGCTTCTTTATGCAGACGACACCGTCCTTTATATTTGGGATTCCTGTATTTCTATACTTTTAATAAGAATCAACTGGAATCAGAGACACAACTACAGAAATAAATGTTCTTTCAACTCCAGTCTTAAAATGACTAAAAGTTGAAGAAAAATAGTTGAAAATATGTTACAAACATTTGAATATTTACAGGCAATTAGGCTCCGGTCTACTGGAGATGAAAGGTAAAGAAAGTCCATTCACACCGCTCCATTCACGCCGCTCCATTCACGCCGCTCCATTCACGCCGCTCCATTCACACTCTTGTTTCCATTCCTTATTGACAACATCTTACAGTATTTCTCCTCATCCCTCCATCCTTCTTCTACTTCCTCTCCTCCATCATCTTCTCTCTATTCTCACTTCCTTCCTTTCCTTTCCTTTCACATCTGACACATTTGTAAATCAACTGTGTACACACACACACACACACACACACGTACACACACACACACACACACACAAACGTAAAACTCGAAAAAACTCAATATTACTACAAAAAACCCAACTGAAATACACAAGAAGAAAGACTTGTGAGTAAATACACACTAAGGCGCACATAAGCAAGTAAACAAACCCTCTCACGTGCACACGCTCACGTGCACACTCTCCATCAGGACGGAATGGCAGCGGTGCAGGCAGCACAATCGGTACCGCCGGGCGCCAGCGGAGCTAAATTGCAGACAGAGAAGGAGAGATCTGGACCATTTTTCAAGGCCGACTATATATTACAAATTGGCTACCAGGGTATTGTTTGAAAACACACACACACACACACACACACACACAACAGGAACATAGTGAAAAACTAATCCTGCCTTGTCCTGTTGTAGTCCACAGAGCCACAGAAATCTGCCCTGCTCCATCTTTTTCCTCTATTTCCTCAAAATAAAGCATGTGATTGAAAATGTGTCATTTTCAGAAACACACACACACACACACACACACACACACACTGAACTCCACACACTTGTGTTTACTCACTGTAACTTTGATTTGTTATGTGAATTTTAGACACACTTCAACAGCAGGGCCAAGTACACACACACTCTCTCTCTCTCTCTCTCTCTCTCTCTCTCTCTCTCTCTCTCTCAGGATGTTCCGGTCCAGGGTCAGTTGCTCGGTCTTGCTCCGCTGCTTCACTAAATCCACAGGAACAGCTCTTTACTCTGAGACTAAATCCTTCTGAAACACAACAGACTCAGACGTCTACATGTTCTCCAAATTACAACAACACGTACTGACACACGGTCGGTGCTGTGATCACCCGCTGCACAGAGGTCAGACTGATGTCGGAGGAGCGGCTCTTACTACAAACATGGCCGCCATGGTAAAAAAAAAAGTCCACGGTCTAACACACGTAACTTGAGTGTGTTGACCAGTCACTGTCCTTAACCAAAGTCCATGGATAGAATCCAGGCTTTTAGCCTACATAAAAAGATGGAGGTGCTTGTCTCATGCTGCCCCAAGTGGTCAGAATAGGTCACTGAAATTCTTCAGACTGAAGATCTTTATAGCCTGTTAGAATGAACTGTTTGGAGAATCAGAAGAAAATAACTCCTGTGTTCAGTTGTTTTAAAATCGCTAATATTTTCTATGGGCTTTGGTGTGGAAGAGTGCGCTCCTTAATCACTCTCCTTGTTAGTTAATAGGTCATTAAATGGTCAACATCTTATGGTCTATGCAGTGATTATAATGCAAACCAACAGACTCTCCAACACCAAATTCCTGAGAACAAACAATCAATTATTTTTGTAATTGCAGCAAATACCAAACTGTAAGATTACTGTAAATGACAATAATCTCTACTGTTAGTATATAAACTGACTGTTTGGGGAATCTTTGCAGTTTGCTATTTTTTGATCAAATTTGTTTTCTTTATACAAACTGACCACACGAGGACAGACTTTCTTTATACAAACTGACCACACGAGGCAACAGTGGACCAGCAGCTCCTGTGACCTCCTCACAGATAAAACTACTGTTTTTTTCTATGGAGTTTGGTGGTTCACTGTTTATAAAGACAGTTTAACAACAATATAAAAGAGTAAACTCAATTCAAATGTTTTATGGAGGTGAAGATTAAATCTTTTTTAGAACACACCAGACATGATTTCACAGAGAGAAAGTACCGTAGATAAAGCCGGGAGTGTATCTCAAAGAGAGGCTGGCTCTCACTGCAGGGGGCGCTAACACCATGTCATGACGTGTGTCATGCACTTTACGGAACCTAAATTGTGAATTTTTCTTTATGTTGTCACTAATACCATATATGAAGCTGTAAATGTAAACGTAAACAGTGGTTTTCACTGAGAGCAGATGCTGTTTTTCCAGACTCAGACTGAACTGCACTCCTTCCTTCTTTAAACATCTCTCTTCTCCTGCTCTGAGCCTCCCTCCAGTTAATCATGGACACGAGCGTCGGGACGAAGAATGTGGCCTCGCTTTTAGTTTGCACACATTATCGGCAAATAACAGGAATAAATCCAGCGTGTGCCGCACTCGCGCCGCAGAGCGCGGCAAGTGGGGGTAATGGATTCTGTCATTTGAAATGGATGAAGCTCCATTAGGGAGCACGGCGTCGCAGCGCTAAGTGGTGGAGTCTCTCCCTCTCTCTGCCTCGTCCTCCTTCTACATCTGAGGTCTTACAGCAGATAGAGACACAGAGGCCGGAGCTGACGTCCACCACAGTCTGTCAGCAGCCACGACTGATGCTGCTCATGAGACCTGAGTCAACAGGAACACTAGCCTAATGAAACGTCTCACCTTCTACCCTGACACATTTGTCTGTGTAACAGAAGAAACTACATTCAAGTGGTTTTTGGCAAAATGGCCAAAGAAAAGCAGTTGAAACACGGATGTTTCAGATGTTAGGCATAGGACAGTTCTAACTGCGCTGTCAGCGCCCCCTGCTGCTGAACACACACAGAGACATGAGGTCTTGCATCAACCTAGGCCTATGACACATTTAGAATGTTTTTTCAACTTTATCTTATGGTTAGATTCATTTGTAGAGTCTTTACTCTTTAATTCAAAAGTCCATAAACAGAACCAGAAATTTAAGCTCACAGATGGAGCAGCTGGTTCTCAGCTGGTTC